TATCTATCTATCTATCTATCTATCTATCTATCTATCATCTATCTATCATCTATCTATCAAATTTGTCTCCCGCCCGTCTTCCCCCAATGGGGGGCTCCATATAAACTTTGCTTGCAAAAGGTTCCCAAGTACAATATGTCTCAATGCCAGGTAGGGCTAGGAAAAATCCCTGCCTGAGATTCTCGATAGACGCTCGGCAGCCGGGCTCACACAATGCATTTAATTTGGTTGCTGAATGAAGCTACTTTTCTGCGTTCACACAATGTGCTGGACGATAATGAAGTCCACGGGTTTGATTCAGCCACCAAAACACTCCCACAAACTCAACAACGAATGAAACTCAAAACTTAAACAAGCTCAACAACAACCAAGCTCAGTACGCTGGGTGTGCCTGCTGCAAGTAAGACTTGATTTCACATCACATGGCTTCCACTGATATTTTTATTTATTTATTCATTTACTGAGATTTATCTAACCTTTCCCAACCTGCTCCCCTCCACATGGTTTTGGATTGAACTTTCAGGACTCTGGAGGCCATCTTGGGGAGAGATGCTCTAAACCAGGGTTTCTCAGCCTTGGCCCCTTTAAGACGTGTGGACTTCAACTCCCAGAATTCCCCCAGCCAGCATGTGCTGGCTGGGGGATTCTGGGAGTTGAAGTCCAGACGTCTTAAAGGGGCCAAGGTTGAGAAACCCTGCTCTAAGCTGAACAACATCAAAATTCAGAGAGTGAAACACCTGCCAAATGGTTCCCTCTGTGAAAATCTACATCCTGGCCTAGATGTCAACGGATTCTACATGACCTTCTGCATTCCTCAAAGGGACCCTTTACTGGCTGGGGGAGTTTGGAGACAGGAGGAGGCGTGCCTTGCAAGAAAATAAGTCAGTAAAGGTGCAGAGGAGGTCTTACCCAGGCAAGCAGGCGCCACACAAAGTGTCCGTGGTAGCTGTTCCAAGGCGGGCATGGATCCTCTTCTTGGCCTCGCAAGAGGTATGCGATGAGCAGAGATCCAGCCCAGAGCTGGACGAGAAGAACCCTGCCGAGCACGGCTTGCAGGCCATTCCTAATCCTGAACCATAACCACATTTCTATGGGGAAAATCAAAGAAAAACTTAGAATAAAGGAATTATTGCACCTCTGGCTGGCAGAGGGACTCCCCCAAACCCATTCAGCAGTGAAGTTTCAGTATTACCCAGAGCAACTAGTCTTCCTTCCAAGCCTACGGTGATGCTACAGCATCATCGTGAAAATCCCAACATTTCTAGCCCTGCCTTTTTTTAAAAAAAAAAAAACCACATTTGTGAGACTATCTTTGGTTCAACGAGGATCAGAAGCTTGATCTTAAATCAGATGAAAACTGCTTCTCAAGAAGCTGGATCGTTGCTTGCCAGCCATTTCAGATTTTGGCAGATATGAAGAGCTCACGCCGAGAGATTTCTCCCCCCTTCCCCACTGCAACACACACTTGCTGAGTGAAATGCAGGGGCTGCATTTGCACACTTACCCAGGGTTAACAGAACAATGATTTAGTCCAGTGTTCCTCCATCTCGGCAACTTTACAATATGCGGACTTCAACTCCCAGAATTCCCCAGCCAGCATGAATTCTGGGAGTTGAAGTCCGCATCTCTGAAAGTTGCTGAGATGGAGAAACACTGATGTAGTTGAGCAGCCCCATTTTCTGGGTTCACGTGGCCCACTGAATCATAAGTAACCATGATGCTGTGTGAATGGAGAGCCTCTGCAGGACCCCCGAAGGAACCTGACTTACTCTGTCTGGCTCCTCTCCGGCTGGACACGCTTCGCAGAGGACACAGCGACCGTCCGCACCCCAGTACTCTTGCTCCCCACATGCTTGAGCCCACGCCGGGTGCCAACAGAGGGCCTACAAATAACAAAGAGGGGGGCAAACGTTGTGATTATCTTTTGGCACCCCCTTCTTGAGGTTGGGAGTGAAGGATCCTGGAGGGAAGTCCAAAAATAAAAAGGTTCTGTCTCCAACAGAAACTATCAAATGTTTTTGGCCATTCAGAGCTGTTCATACATTGCAATGCAGGGGTATTCCTTGAAATTTCAAAAGGGTTGCTTCAAGTGATGGATTTGATGCAACTCAAGAGACTCCCTCCCTCCTTTTCCCATCTAACTTTAGTTTTCTTTCAATTTTTCTTCTTTCTAACTTGCCCTCAAATCTTCTCCCTCCCTCCCTCCCCTGCTTTCCTTCCTTCCTTCCTTCCTTCCTTCCTTCCTTCCTTCCTTCCTTCCTTCCTT